GTCTAGTTTTGAGTGCAGTAAAGATAGAATCAGCAATTCACACTTTAATTTTACATTCTTTTCCAGTATTTTATTTTGTTTCTGTAGCCGCAGTGTACAACAACTCTTCCTGTATATTGCCTTTTTTTGCTGGAAAATGTTGTATGTTGAATAAAATTTTCTATAAAATTTTTTTCGGTGAGTGATGACATGGACATTGAAGAAGATTTCTCCTTTCCTTGGAACTAGTTTTGGGAAATGTTTTCATTCGTGAGGTTTTGCTAAACTTGTGTTTTTTTTCTTAAGTGTTGACAATTGTATAACCCTCGTATTGGTTGTTTTGGGGAAAATTTGTGGGGTTTTCTGTTTAATTGTTTGGGGTTTTGGAGGTTTTTTTGGGTTTTGTTTTTTTACCTCCTAACTAGTCACATTTGAGCTTAACAAATAAAAGCTTTTCCAGGAAGGAGCCGTGTACAAATAAGACAAATGGAAAAATTATTTTACTAGTTTGTTTGTAAAGCTTGTAGTAGAGTCTTTGTGGTAGATTTGACTCTGCCTGTACAAAATTTTTGTGGTCCAGATTCTCAAGTCTAATATTATAAATGGTGTAAAGTGAAATCTGGAGTCTCTAAAGGTAAGCTCTCTTAATAGAGTAATAGATTCCTGCCGTAATGTGTTCCCTGTATTCATAACCAAAACAAAAGTGCTTAGAAGCTTCCCTTTCTCAGACCTATCAATAAACATTTAGTAGGGGTTGCGTATATGTGATGGCCTTTATACTGTTTTATGAAATGGATTCTGGTGATTACTGAAAACACCAGCAAGTATTTTAAAATTAAATTTTAAGATCTATTTCACTCTTTAAAATGAATTAATTGCTCAAGTTTTAGGCATGTTTGGATTTCTTTTTAATTTATATCTTGCAGTGCTTTTAACTGTCTCTTATTTCCAAACAAGGCAAACCAGTTGTTTTTTTTTTTTTTTTTTTTCTTTTGATCATCCTGCTGGTCTCGCACTGTGATGGAAAGTCATTCTTGCATGTATGGCACACAGCAGAAAAATTACCAGCTGAAGTACAAATGTCTTCAAACCATCCCGAACACAAACCAGTAAACCAAAAGAAAGCGAGGATTGAGATGCAAGCCAAACTTCCAATTTCACACGGTTCAATACAGATATTGAAAACATTTAAATCACTTCTAGTACAAACATATTACTACCAATCTAGAAAAAATAAAAGCTCTGGGAACACATTCTGATGGTCAAAGTCTTCTACCACCATTTTAGCAATAAGTATAAACAATGGCTTTGCCTTCCTAGCTACATTGTCCTAGTTCAAGTATAATGAAGCACTCATTTCAATAACAAAATACCCCACATTTATTCAGTTTACAATCTGAAGTGACCAAGGATAAAGATGAATAAAGCCACTCTCCATCAACCTTTTGTTTCAGGAGTCATCATTAAACAATCGCAAAAATTGTATCACAGAAGTGACATTCTCCTGTACATGACTAACTTCTGCCATTTGGGACAGTAAGTCAGCAAGCAGGAAGATAATACTCCACTGGCAGGAATAAAAGCTCCCACAGTGTACGCTTCCCACCCACACCTCACATTCCAGTTTGGCATTCATTACAAGTAAAAACACCCAAATACTTCTGTCATCTTCAAAATGTATTTTACAATGACAAATTACCCAACTGCAAGTCACTTCTCTTTCATGTGCAAGGTACAGAGAAAAACGTTAATAACACATTTTTATTTTCAGATACCCAAGAAGAATGTACAGCAGGAAATCAATGTTGTTCTGCTTTTAATCTCCTTTATAAGAAAAGATTACTCCTCTCCAGCACTACTGGTTTTCCACATGCATAGTATGAAGCAACTGAAGTGCCAGTTCATGGAAAAGTTAGCTTCGAGTGTGAGAAGTTTACTGTAATGTTCGGATATTGCAAATACACCACCTTAAAAGAAGTGTTTAGTGTGCAAACACTGGTGGTATTTCCTCCATAAATGAATAGAGATGTAACATGTCATTAAACTAGTTCAAAACCTCTATAAAACAATGGGCATGCCATGCTAAATAAATCAGGCTAAAGCCAGCATAAAAATTAATTGCAACAGAGTTCTAAGTAATATGTGATGCATGGCTTTATTTTCCCTTCTGTCTACAAGACACATGCACACTTAACATTTTGATTCTCTAATGTTAGAACAAGCACTTTAAGAGATAGGCAGGATTTTAAAAATAATAGCCAAGACAAGTAGTAAAAAATGCATTTTATTTATATGGAAAAGGCTACATTTAAATTTGTAAAAGGTCTGTGACAGTGTTATGTTGCCCACATGTCAAAAATCAGTTGTGAATAGCAACAAAACGGTTACATTTCTTTCTACATAGCAGTGCAATTAGTTCACATTGCAATAAAATTAAGTCAAGTATGCAACAGAATCAAAACCAAGTGTTTCTCCATAGTCAGCATACAAAGAAATACAGTGCAAAGATCATTTTAGGTTTTAAGAAATCTGCAGTCAGTCTTTGGAATATCCTAATGGGTGGGATACTCCAATTATTTTCTTTACTAGCAGTTGTATCTTGTCAATACTGTGCACAAGCAAGTAAGTCTAAAATGAAATGACTTGCATGGTAAATAAAATATTTAGTCTATACAGTAAAAAAAATACAAATTATGTAAGTGAACTAACAAAACAAAATTTGAACACACTTAGGAAACAGACAACGTACTTTAAGGATACACATACAGTATTCATCACAAAACCAGCTACTTCTTCCAGCAAAAAAACCTGGTTGCTTTACAACTGCATTATGGATCTTGTAGTCTGAAGATGCAGATGTCCAACTCTTAAAAAACATAATAAATGTCTTCTGCAAAGCATACAAAGAGGATAAATATTCTTATCACAGTCATAAGGTTATTTTTGGAAGTTTGTTCTCCCTTGCTCCAGAAACACATTTAGATGGGTGAAAAAAAACTCAAGGGGCATTATGATACATTGAAACAGTAAACTGTGCTCCATTTCCTTCTAATTTTGAAAAAAACCTAGAATTTACAGTACTCTGTGGTATATGAAAAAATCTTCACAAGTTTACATTGCATATTTCTGTGTCCATTCTCTCGCATGTCTGTTGTATCTGTACGTGCAGAAAGAAGGCATTACAGTGAAGAACTGTTAGTGATACATTGACAACGGCCACATTTACTTAATACAGATGTTACTGAGCTTTTCACCTCTTGGCACTGATTCAAATAACGTTAAAAAAGTCTAAAAGCCAAGAAACATCTACCCGCTGGGTCTTCAGTTTCTAAAGTTACCTATCAAAGCTATTTAGACTCAAACCCAAAACCAGTCTCACAGGTTTATATTAAAATGTGTATCACTGTGCATACGTAATTTGCATTTCACAACTGGATCCCAGATTTGTACCTTAGTGGGAATTTTTTGTCAATTATTCCTAAATGTGTGTGCTATTAACAGTCTGACAAAGTTCACACATTCTAGCTGCATAAAATTCAGTATAATTAACTGGTTTTGGAAAGGGTGGGGACAGAAGGCACAGTGATTTTTTTTTTATTATTCTTCATTCTGTATTTCAGAACTTGAAAGGAAAATTTTCTGAAAAGCATTTTTGATTAGGTTTTAAGTCTTGGGTCTTTTCCTTCCAGTATGAAGCTGATTGTCCTTAAGGAGTCTGTAACTTCCCCTCTGGTCCTTAACACTAGTTACATTCCACTCCTCGGACTAGATTCACTTTCTTCTGGGTCCTCCAGAGAAAACACTGACAAGTTTTTAAAATCTGTCTCTTAAGACCAGTATAGCAACTCATGTTCTAATTGGTTTTCTTAAGAATATATCACCATACAAGTCTTTGGATTTTTACTTATACTAAAATACCCATCGATAAACGCTCAGGGGTAATAGAGCATCCCTTTCATTTCCTAAATCCAAGACGAGATTAAAAAAAAGTTAATAGGTGATCAGCACAAGAAGATAAAGCTTCAGTCAAGACTATATGTCCTCTGGAAGAGTGGAAATCACTGTTATGGGAGTGGGTGGACAAAAGCTGAGATACAAATGGGGAGAAGCTGAGGCACAACATCCTCAACTTTAACACTACCTGCTTTGCAGTACAAGCTACTGAGGTCAAGCACTTCAGAAGCGGGTTACGTGATTTGATTGTATCAGGCATCGAACTGCCAGAAAAAGGCCATTTTAATAATTCTTACTCTAGGGAGAGAAATATCAGACCACAGACTTCCATGTAACCTCTACACCACTCCTCCTCTATCCAGTCCTCAAGGTAAAAGCAATACTCAAATCTTCATGGACCTGTGATATGTGATAAACCACAGGTCATTATCATGCACTGCAACAAGTCTTCAACGGCTCAGTACTAAAAAGCAGGCAGCAAAATTTCTCAGTCAGTTAAGCAGAAAGTAAAAAATTCTTCTGGATATCACACACGTTCCACAGAATCTGAAGCAAAGAATCTAACAATTAAAACTGTTAACAGCAAGGTTATCAAAAAGCAGTTTAAGTACCAAGGATGAAAAGCCTGCCCCAAGCTAAATCCATAGCCTTTCCCACAGCTTGAAAAAGTCAGATGAACAGTGGTGGTTAGGCTGTCTATGATTGTGCTGCATGGCTGTGACTATTTTATTTACTGCCAAGGCCACCAGAAAATTTGTGGCAGATTCATTTTGGGGAAGGTTATTCCATCCTTGGCAAATTAGGACTGCATGTATTTGGAAAGCCTTGGAGACTGCTACCCCTTGTTACGATCCTAAACTGATCTTGTGTTTCAGTCTGTCTTAATCCCACACCTAGAAAATCCCCAGGTGCTAACATCCTGTTACAGAAGACAGCTCAGGCCATGCTGATAAGACTGTAGACTACATCCTGGATTGTGCTCAAAATACCTGTAGCAGTGGTAAAATCTCCCAGTGGTAAGCAAAATAGTATTTCCTTCCTGGATCACTGATTCTGTAACCTTTCCCATGCATAAGGTTTTTATAGTTTGTAAGCCCAGGAGAAGCAGGTAGCTGATATGTCAGCAGAAAGCAGCAAAGATGGACAAATCTCCCACAGGTAGTATTTCCTCCATGGAAATCATGCAGTCTACCCGGTAGAATAAAGGGCCCAAGCTTCCTGCTACCCACAACTGCAACAAACACCGAAGAAATCAATACATCACTTGCTTAGGTACCCACAGATGCCACTACTGGAAGTCTAAGTGCTCAAAAGAATCACTCTAGAGAGATAGTGCTCTGGAACGAAATGCCACTATGCCAAATCACCTCTAAAGCCTGTTATCTGATGTTGTGTGGGTTCAGCCACGTTTGTAATTACAATACAGCATTTCAAAACCCTCCTTAGGGGTGATGTACAACAAGAAGTCAGCAAGCCTTAAAACTGAACTTTGGGAAACCCAGGTGGTTCCACACTAGAAGACCCCAGAATAGACATTCCAGTCAGTACAGTACTTCTGGAGTTAAAACTTCTCAAGTCAAAATCAGGTTTGGTTCAGAAACATGTAATACTTCCATTACACACTGTCCATGTTGCCTTCCTGCAAGTTCTACAGCTGTTCCAGAAAGTAAAAAAGGTTCTTTTTCTCTGCAAGATGCTGCAAACTGCAACATGACAATGGCTCTTAGCATTGAAAACAGCTGATTAGTTTATCCCACATTTATGAAATGGTGTCAAAACACATGTTTGTTGTTCATACCTAACATCTTACTAAAGGCATAAATTTTACAACCAGAGGATCCCAGTAGCAACAAAAGTCCTATTTGGGAAATGATTTTTCATGCAATGAATATAAAGACAAAACACAAAAGCATGATGGTTTTATGCAACTAAGTACAAAATCTTAGTGTATGCCTACAGTTTTCTGCTTGCCATTCCACTGATTCATACTGTCAAGACTTAAAAATCTAATCCCGTAGAAATCTATGAAAAGACTATCTTTAAAAGTTAAGATAGAAGGCACGCAGCATATAACCATCTGCAAGTACCACGTATACACAATTATGAATAGGTTATACTCACTTTTCCTTGTCTGACTTGTAGATCTGTGCAATATCCGGTACTAAAGGGTCATCTGGATTAGGATCACAAAGTAAGGAGCATATGGACAATAAAACTAAATAAAAGAGACACTAGATTAAACAAGTTAGTTTGCTTTATTTCTATAATACTGTAATATATTCCAGTACACTGAAGGAGGGTGGTGGAAGGGAGACTGGAAGGAGAACGCACATTAGTATTAAGCTTTCGCATAGCAGCGCTGCTCGGAGATGTTTATAGAGTGTCATTTGTCTAGGTCCTAAGTAAACAACACCTAATACTAGCCTAGATATCTTGCAGCCCATGGACCTGTACCATTTATAATGATCTCTCTCCCACGTTTTAACCTATGAACATTAAACAAACTACAGACTACATAGTTACATATAAATATTTGATCAAACTAAGCCCTTCCATCTACAATTATTTAAGATAATTAATCTTGTTAATATTACACTGCCATGCAATCCTCTATTTGTGCATACCCTTCTCTACTTCCATGCTGACAGTTATTCTCTCCTTCATATAAACATTTCATTTAATTTTATAGAAGTGTGACTTCCTTTTTGGGAAAATACTTCATCAGCATTATATGCAGGTATTCACTTATTTCGTATTAATTTCCTGATATTTAACTAAGGTTGTTTGATTTCTCTTAACATTTTCAGTCCACACTTTTCAAGAAATTTCTATTTTTATACTCAGAACTAATATGAATATACAGAAGTACACAGTTAAACGATTCTAAGTGTGTAGTGAAATAGAATTTGATGCTACAGTAAGAATCTGCTGTAGAATAGAATATTTTTTCCCTTGCTTTGTCTTGTTACCCAAGACCCTGGACTAACACCTATTTTCAGCTGTAGTGAGTTCAACTACTTCATACTGATGTATTTATTAAGTGCCAAATACACCTGTAATATTAGAAAATTGCTTTAGAATACTTGGTCACACCAATCAGAGGTGCTATCAGTATGCTGTAATCCTCCAATTCAGTAAAAAAAGAACCATAAAAGAGAAACTTCCATGAGCCACTGTGCTAATTTTTAGTTCATGGAATATATGATGTGCAAGCTCATTAAAAGCATGTCAAATGAGACCACATAAGACCAGCAGACTGTTCCACTTCATAGCTGAAGGAACCCTCAACAAGCAAAGACAGAAAAAAGTGCTGAAGATGAGTTTTCAGTTGAAATGCCAATGGTTAAAAAGGTGACAATTTCCATTTGCTGAATACCTTCCAAGTAACTAGAAACAAGACAATTTTGCTCACCAACAAACCAACCAACTGCTGTGGAAAGTTGATACCAACTATACACATTCAAGTCTTCAGCAACTCTTTCGGGAAACAGTATTAAACTTCAATTTGATTTAGCTTGCGAGATTACTGCACAGGGTGGTTGTGCATGGGCAGAAGTTGCTTTTCCAAGGAGGTACAGCAATTCCACTTGCATAGAGCCATTTCCATCGGACAAAGACTTAACAATTTTTTCCTTGGTTGTACACCAAATGCAGTGACACTGTTCTAAAAAAAGCTACATGGCTGAGAGCTCTCAGCACATAAGCCAAGATGTGATACTGCTTAACCTTTTGAGTCACATGAGAACTTTCTGTAATATGACTAAGAGTGCGCCTAAGCATTTTGAAGATGACTGAGAAAAAAACAATGATAGCACCCACACTTTTTAAGCAGTGACACAAAATGCCTACAACAAAAGAGCTGCTTAACTGTAGCCTCAACATTCTAAAAATCTAGTGTTCAACTTGAGAAAGTTTAACTACAAGACTAGAATGTTTTAATAAATCTTTTACTGATGACTTTGAAAGCAGCTACATTTTAACATATTAATCTTACAGAAGAATGCAAACCAGAGCAATTTATCTTATTTTAAATAAAGTGTAATTAAAACCTTAGCCCACACAAGGATGCTCAGGCAACCCAAAGAGTCATCAATAAGGAATCAGATTAAGTCCCCACACATCAGTATCAGGGTTTTCCATTTACACCCAAATTCATTTGATTTTGAAGCTCTGCTCACCAGTTTCTCCTCAGTTCTGCCTGCACAGCCAGCTATAATAAAGAAGTTACATTTCAGGCTAATTGGACATTTTTTTTGTCTTATCCAACTTGTTTTAGAACATTTCTTTGCCATGCACAGAATATTTTATGTAATGCGACACTCCAAATAAACTGTGCAAGATCTTAGATCATAACAAGAATTCCAGTGGAATCTGCCGCTTCTGTAACATGCAGGATAAATGAGTTTCCACTGCCACCCTTAGACAACGCAGTAATACACAAAGAAGTGCCACAGCAGTGTATGCGATTTCAGAAATTCATGAGCAAATCTGTGAGTTTACCTTTAGATACAGTCAGAGCTGGTGACCATTGTGATCTCAGGATATCAAGACAAATACTCCCATTACTGTTTATGTTTGGGTGGTATATTTTTGTTGTAAAAGCAATCTGGAATAAAAAAAAAAACAAAACAAAACCAAGTAACATCAAATTATATTTATTCCATTTGGAATCCTTAACAGTGTCCCTCCAATTTCAGTAATACTAGATCTGTCAATGCAACTTACTGTACGGTCTTATCTGTTCATCCACTATGAACGTGTACCCTACTGCTGGCCTTTCTGGTTCTAACTTCCAAAATTAAGCCTCAAAGAACTCAGAAACAAAACTCTGACCCCCAAAAATTGCTTAAGTTTTGAAAGAAAGGACTTACCTTTGGTGGTTTGAAAGGATAGTCTGTTGGAAAGTGTACTGTCAGAAAAAATACTCCCCCTTGATATGCACTATCAGGCTGGGGAAAAAAACAAAAGAGACAAAACACATTAAGATATTTCAGTTATTTCGGAGCTTCCTTTCTGAACATAGAAAACCTCCCAAAGCTGTGAGTATCTTAGAAAATCCATTTTTCCCCCAGTACACAGCCCATGCTATGGGCCACATACAACCCACGATGGGCTGTGTACTGGGAAGGCACAGAGGGAACTGAACCCTGCCACTGGCCTGCAGAGCTACAGTAGAGCCAACCACGGCTACTACTGCAGGAGCGCAACTGGCTACTGAGTGCTGCCCGTCTTGGGGAGAGAAAGGGAGGGAGCAGCGCCTGACTGGTGGAGCTACGAAACTGCTGATCCATCCAGCTCCACCGCACCAAGGGGAATACAAAACCCAGAGCAGATGTTCCAAATCCTGTCTCTGTGCAACGCCACAGCTGCTCTGATCCTCCTCCATCCTTAAGCTACAAATATACTTACCTTAAGAAGTGGTTTCTCTTTGCAGATGCAAAGAGTAGGATTTTCCAACATAATTCAGCTGATCATGATGACATCAGGGAGTTTTAAAACACACAACATCTTTGTGACCTGTACAAATCTGTGAACATGCATTTTGTTAGAGAACATGTGCACAGGTTTACGTCCAGGTTGCACACAGTTAATAGATAGAAATAACTTTGTTGCAGTCATGTTGTGGAAATGTTTTACTTTCGTTAACTAGAAAAGTGAGGGGAAAAGCCTCAGTGCTAATTGATAAGAACGCAGTGCTGCCATTTCTGGTTAACAGAAGAAAACCTCTCTCACTACTTGGTAAGTTAAAAACAGCAACATAGGAACTCAATCTCAGCAAAGTTGGAGAAGATTCAAGTTTTTTGGTTTTCTTATGGAAGCAAAGGCAGACTTTTTAAAATAAAATGTTTACCTTGGAAATGAGCAATGATCATAGTTTTGGAGATGAATAAAAGGTAAAGTCACAAATGGTCCACTAAGACATGTCATCTTACACACTCAAAATGTGTTGCAGTGTAAGGCAGGTTATATATAGTATTGCTAAGAAGTCAGCATTAGGTAACATCAGAAGAGATTGCCGCTGTACTTCCAATTACATTTGAAAGGCCTGCTTGCATGCATACTAAATGGATTTGTCAAAGTTGAAATAAGCTGAAGATGAGACAAGTTCAGCGTCAGAGAGAAGGCACAGTGAAGTCACACTGTTTTGTGAGTAAGGTTTATAAAATGACTTGATGATGCCCACAGACGGGAGAAGAGATTACCCTACTTCCACACTTAGGAAGTGAATTCTGAAGGTAAGCTTTAGTCCTATGCTTCCCTCAGGAAGCATACAGGATGTGCATGACTATTTCCTTATGTTATCAAGATAAAGAATTAATATCCTGACAGCGTTCTTTTCTTGTATCTCAGCAGATATGGCTGAGTAAGGTGACAAGAGATGCTCATTCTTATCCTTAACAAGAGAAATATGAGGAGCCTGAAGCAGAGAAAAGAATATTTTCTACTACAGAATATGAAAGGTGAATTGCAGGCTGGAAGAAAAAAGGAATTTTAAGTCAGGGCTTAGGTGCTAGCACTTGCCTTCAGGTTATCAGAGTCATTCAGGACAGAGACATTTTTGATGGCAATCGGCACATAAGCTTTTGTTAACTCTTATTTGCTGTTTTGCCATTCAACTTTAAGCAGCGCAGAAGGGCAAGGGTCAGAATGACATGTATGTGAAAACACAGTTAAAGAAAAATGGCAAAAGCATTAGTATCCTTGAGAAGAACTTGCCACAATCACTTCAGTTGCTGCTGGGCCACTGACAAGTTGGACAGACTCCAGCATACCACTGGCAAATTAGTAAGTGATCTTTCACTGCTTCAGAGCAGCTGCGCTGAAAATGCAGAAATAGTCTCAAAGCAGACACAGCTCCACTTTTTGCCACCATGTGACACTGCATCTTAAGGGGTTAAGTTTTGTCCCAAAATTTCAGCTCACACAGTGATTCAGCTCACCATCTGAACCAGAGACTCTTCTTCCCAAATTAGTAAGACCCAAAGGAAAACACCAGGAATACCAACTAACTCCTTACCATGATATTAACAAGCACCTCTTCCTTCAGGTCATGTTGTTCCTTATTCTTTTTGCTAAATCCCTTTTCAGTTTTCCTTTAAAACTTTCTGTTCTTAAGCTTTATTGTCCTTTCTTATGTCATTTCCTTGATAGGATTCATAAAAGGGGTCTCTAGAGAACTCCCCACACCCAAGGAAAGCAGGCCTATCTCACAGAGAAACCAAAAGTACCAAACAACTGCTGGTCTACAGTTTGCAAAAGCCCTGGTTTTGACAGGGCCACACCACTGCCATCAAATAAGCTCTAAAACCCCCAAATCACTCTGTGCAACATCACTCTCATTTACAGTTATCAGCTTTATCACTGGGTTACACCCACTCTTCCTCCTTTCAGACAGATGAATCTCCCAGAACTGAAGTGATCATCTTTGAAAAGCAAGCTTTTCACTTTGCAGCCCACATCACCAATTCAAACACTGCAGTTGACTGATTAAGCACCCCTAACTTCACGAAGAGGATGGATTCTGGAACAGTTACAGAAAGAAACTAGTACCAGACTACTAAAAAACAATAACACCACCCTAAATCTTTAATCTATATGCAGCACAGCTGAATTTGACTGCTGTGTTTACAGAAACCCAAATGAATCCTTCCGTAACAAAAGGGGAAACAAGGTCTACTTTCTAAGGGGTGTGAATTATATACTTACAGGTCCCATAATTGTTGCTTGCCAGTGAAACACTGAAAGTCAGAAAGATAAAATGATTAGAGATTTTCCAAGTTTTTTCATAACCAAAAAAAAGTCAGCTATAACAATGTACTATGAAGAGCTTACAGTCATCTCCAACAGGTCCGGCAGAACAGTGGGCTGGAGGGTCTCGCTGCAGATCACTTAGCTCCTGTAAGAAACACAAATATTTGAAAGACATCTACATGAAAATACACACCACTCAGCAGCATCACTTCGAAAGTACAAACACAAACAGATTTTATTAATTAGACCTGTATGTAGTGCTAATCTGACTGTTCCTTTAACTTTTGACTTTACAAAAATTTATTGTATTGGCCTAATCTATGTACACTAGCTGAGTTAAATCAGGTCATAAAATGCTCAGTCTGCCCAGAGATGATATGTGAACATAACATAAATGTTCCTAAGTAAACTAGAAAATAAAGGAAAAATATTAGCTCTACACCTTATTTAACATACCTTGATTTAATTCCCTGCATACATTTTTTTCCAAAATGAATACTAAAAAACTCCTAAGAAAGCTGGAATTTAAGACAAGTCTTCAGAGAAACTTTTGTAGGTCAGCTGATTGGTTTCTCTTACAGAACTCCACACAGTCCCAAATAATTTAAAATTATTACTTAATTAAACCAAATCAGCTGAGCTTTTCATCTATCATCCCTATATCAAATGCAAAACAAGCCAGGCATTAATGTTGGTTCATTTCCCTTGTTTAATTCAAGGTACTACTGGTGTCTGAAATTTTACCACACTAACAACAACTTTGTCCAACTCTTAAGCTGATAGGAACTGTGATGTGCTAAATTCAACGGTTATGTGTAAACACCTCCACTGAAATAAGGTAAAAGATGTGTGTTACACTACTGTTGGTAAGTCACTCAGGTAATTACTCAAAACACACATTTAAATCAAGAATAAACATAAGCAGGTCTGCAAACATCTCCTTGAGTTTAGCTTAAGGAATAACAGTGGAAACATGTTTACTCAGAAATCATTAGTCAAGCAAGACAGCTACTTCCAAAATCAAGGTTTAAATCAGAGCTAAGTTTAACACAAGTGTAGAATTTGTGCATGTAGTGTGAAAACTCAGCACTTCTCAACTGCTGTGATATATTTATCCATTTATGACACCCAGTAAACATTTCAGCTCACATGCTACCCTCTTCAAGGGACCCAATTTACCATGGACCTCACACCTAAATTCAGGCACACTTCTTACAGGTCCACTCCTGACTGTGAATTCAAAGAAAGGCACTGCAACGTATTTTCAACCACTTACTAGGCTAGTAATATTACTACTTGCTCTGAAATCACTCCTCGCAATCCTTGTGATTTAAACAAAAGAGGCAGTTCTTTCATATACTGAAATAGCTCAGGTTGCCAACTAGTGTTACTTGTCTGCCCTCAACTTTGTTGGTGAAATTGTATGCTGGTCCAAAAACAACACTCCAGGCTAGACTTTGACTAATAAAGGCAATAGCAAAACCCTTTAAAAGTGCAGTTCCCTTTTTAATCGGAGGTTTCAGATTTCCCTAAAGGCATGATACAGAAAACCAGTAATCTATGCAAAGCCAAGTCATCACCAAGTACACGAAGGGAGTCAACAAGTTTCAAGTTTCCAGGAGTCACGAGAGTTGTAACAAGCATTATCAGCAGCAGAGTTGTTACAGCCACTGTCTACTCTACTTTGCAACTCAAGATCTAACTCAACAGAAGAAGACTGTCTTGTACACACTTTTTTTTTTAAATAAAAAGCTTGTTATAAAAACGTGTTAGCCAAAACAAAAAACTCAAAAACTAAAAATCAGGCACTTTATAGCAGTCATTGCTGACTACTAAGTTAAGGGCAACGACAGGGAAAAATATGTAGCTAAACTCTTCAGGAAGTCTCTAATATATATGCAAACATTCCCTTATGTATATGCAAACTGCTAGGCAAGCACTTAATTTTGGAGTCACAAGTCTGTAAGAGCACACTCATTTGCTAGGTGCTTGTCTTTTTTACATACCCCAAACCCACACAAATTGGTTTTCTTTCATATGTACACATGTACTTCAGAATTGGCAGGATCCAAGGAAGGCTCCTGGGGAAGAGACTTTCAATTTGTTCAGGCTAAATGAACTGAAATTTGTCCGTGATAAAAAAAATCCATGTTTTTATTCACACCTTAATGAGACCCAGAACTATCAGCTCCTGTTATTAATATTTCCCTAATGACGACGAAGAAAAGGCTCTCTTCAACCAACTTCACTAAATGAGAGCAACGTTCACGGATACATTCAGAGAGCTTCTGCAGCTAGGAAACAAAGCCAGACCAAACTTCAAAATTGTAACAGAGCAAATTCAGGCCGTATTTTCCAATCATAAGAAATAATACACTGAAGCTCATGTGGTTTAAAAGTACAAATGGTAAAATGATCAAACTTTGTAAATTAAAATTGGCAATTAACAGTTTGAGCCTTTTCACACAGAAGCTCAGATTGTGATAAAAACAAAGAACTATTCAGCTTTACAGCGTTAATTATGCTGTTTCAGCTTCATATTCAAAGCAAAATTATCTGCAGAGCTCTAAGATTTAGGCTTCAAGCTTTTCTACATCTTTCAAAATGGTACAAGATAGTCAGAATGCCCCTGAGTCAGAATGACTTGTCAGCAGCCAGAGTCAAACACAGCACAACAGTTGTGATGATTCTCCAGAGCAAGTAGCTGAGAAAAAAAAAACCCAAAACCCTACTTCATGACTTTCCATATTCACAAAATAATGAGAAGTTGAATAACAAGAGTTTTCTGTGCAAACCAGGAAAGATGCTCTTCACAAGAAGGCCAAAATCTTACTTTGTCAAAGGACAAGGCTTAAGAGTTACAAAGCCTTATGTGTTGAAACCTCATCGCGAAGTACAAGAGAACTGCATGTGAGGCATTACACAGTCAACATGAAAGATTTCTCTGAAATTTTAAGTTAATAGGTTCTAGCAGCATTGTCCATGTTTTACGGATTATCACCGTGTAGCTGCATGATGCAAGTCTGGTTACTTCAGTCCTCGTCTATACCAATATTTTTGGTCACTGGTACAGAAAATGCTGGTGCAAGGCTTCGGTATATGTAGGCTAGCAGGCAGGGTAACTCAAAGCAGTGGGATGCAGTTTCAGAAGAGAAAGTCAACACTACAAACAAAAGTGTACACCGGTGCAACACCTTTTATGAGAATACATAAACCCAAAATTTTGTCTGCAAGAGACACAAACAGAAGCATCAATTATTTCAAACCCTGATAAATGTCACAGCATCAAAGCACCTCACAAGAGCTCCAACACACACCACACTAGCCCAGTACAACCAGGAATAACTTGTACAGAGAAACAGCTAAGCTGAGGACAGTGGTAGGAATAAAGCTTCTAATCCTCTCAAACATAGAAAATATTAGAGTAGAGCAGAATACTGTTAATTCTATGCCTCTCTGTTTGCAATGGATGGGTGCTTCCGCAAACTATTTCTCCTGTTTGTAACCACAGCAGCAGAGCAGAAAAGCAAGCAGGATCTGTGACCAGGATTAGCTAATAAAGGAGTGTTAGCATAATGCTACAGATGCTAAATGACAATTACTGGAGATGGACACAGCAAAGCCCCCATATTATCACCTTTCATTGCGCCACACACACCGTAGAACTGCTCTGCGGACAGCGAGAGACAAAAATTTAAAAATCTAATTTAACAGATGTAAAATACACCCTATGGTAACCCATAAATGCTGTAAATATTTCTGAATGTGCAGACATTGCCAAAGTATAACACAGGATGTATTTCATAAATATAAAGTTGAAGACTTGAAGGTCAGTTTAACACTTACATGCTTTAATAGCAGTCAGGCTTCTCTTCTAAAAAGCTACTGGAACAAGATTGTAAAGGATGCTTTGATAACAAGGAGATAAATATTCTCAGTGGACTCACGGACACTCAATGGCTATGAGCATGAGTATAACAAGAAAAAGACCTAAAAATGTCTCCTTTTTTTTTCAATTAAAAAAAAAAAAGTTAGAAAAAAAGACTGCAGACTATCAGAAGACCAAAATAAACTGCAGGCAGCATCACTAAAAGCTATTTTAATTCTCTGAGCGACACAAAATCACAGAGCCCTTTTCCACACTGTTATTTAAAATGCAGATTTTTATATTTGCCAGCTATGTTCCTCATTTCTTGCACAAAATGCACTGTAGACCACAGACTCACTTCCTACCAACTCCACGCATACCCTGCTGCTATTATATTAATGCTGTTTGGAACCATCTGTCAGAAAAAAAACAGTGACTATACTCTGATTAGTTGAAGGATTCTCTGTTCTTCATAGATTTGGTAAATGGAAAGCAAATAGTTATCATAATGTTCCTCAGTATAAAGGTAAGTCTTAGTAAGAAAGTGTATGTTCTATCTTTATACATTGTTTTTATGTAAAAAAAAATATTGCTGTGATATCACAGCTGATGATTTGGAAGCAAATTCAAACATTTTATATTACAGATCCAAAAAAGAAGTTTTCTCAGTATGTTTATTACCATCTAAAGACAGCATGTGACTCAAAGTCAAAATCTAAACCACAAATATTGGTAGAATTTTATTTACTTGAGGCAATTTACAGTGACAAAAGTTATTTTCATCATAAATATTCAAGTCCGTCTGTCCTGTTAGTCTACTCATATATGAAACACATACTGAAATAAACAGGCATATAGTTCATTGACATATCTAAATGTTTGAATGCTTCTATTCTGACTGAGTTGTAGGAGAAAAACAATCAAGCACTATGCACCAACAAGATAAAAAACAACAGCTATTTTTAAACCAGTCTTCAAATGTCTCTTCTAACTGGTTTCAAAATCTCTTCTAAATCCTATTTTCTTATGACTATAACAAAAGTAAACACAGGTTTTGTACGTATTTCAAAACAGCCTGAGCCATTAACAAGCACATCAACACCCCACCCC